GTTCCAGTAGGCCGTGCTTGTGCTGCTTGGTGGTGTGATGTCAAGCGCACAGTGCAGGTAGGCAGGATGCAGTGGGGAGATTGTTATGTGTGGTGCTAAGACAGATATGGGAGAGAGGAGAGAGGAACAGGAGCCAAAAACATACAAACAAACAAAAAGTAATGCTAGGGGAGCTTGCTTTTGGAGTGGAGAGATGAGAGACTATGAAATGGAGAAAAACAGAAAGGGGAAGAAGAAGAAAAGAAAAGAAAAGAATGAATGAATAAAAATCAGAAGGTTAAAGAACTGCAAAGTTCCCAGGGATCCCACCGGTGCAGCTATGAGGTCTGGGGAAGTCATTGTCAGGTGTTGCAGTACAGCCTAGCTAGAAAGCGTAACCGTATACAACGCCAGGTATTCAGGGAACAGCGAGAGAAGGAAGATATAGACAGACAAGAAACTGAGCAATGAAGAAAGACAAAAAGGGGAAAAGAGGGGAAAATTAAAGAAAACAAATTAAAAAAAAACAAGAAAGGCCCCCCAAGCAACAGAAAAAAAAAACAACAAAAAAAGAAATGTCCTCAGGGATCCCTCTGCACATCTGTGCAACCTGAGCAGGAAGTGTCCTTGCCACGCAGCTCCACCTGGCCAGAAAGTGCTCCCAACTCAAGAAAAGAAAAAGAAAACAAACAAACAATTCAAAACAAACGAACAAACAAAAGCCCCGGGCTCCCACCAGCATGGCAGCCCAGACCAGGAAGCAGCTCCACACTCAAACGGAGCTCCATAGCCCCTCAGGAAGAAGCAAAGATGGTGCACGGAGCCAGGTATTTGAGCGAAAGGAGGGGGAGGTGGCTAGAGGTAAGGAAGAAATCAAAAAAATCAGAAAAAAAAGCGACACTAGCAGCCAATAAATGGCACTCAGAGAGCCAGCTAGTGCGGGCTGGTGTTTCTCAGACAAGAGACTGTGTCTGGGGGAAGCAGAGGGGGCTGAGTGTGGGGAAGAAGGGTAGGGAGTGGGAAAGTGTATATCACAAATTACCAGAGCTCTGCAGCCCCTCAGGAAGAAGCAAAGATGGCACACAGAGCCAGGTAGTTGAGCGAAAGGAGGGGGAGGTGGTGAGAGGTAAGGAAGAAATCAAAAGAAGCAGAAAAAAGCAACACCAGCAGCCAATAAATGGTATTCATAGAGCTGGCCCGTTTGGGTGTGTGCAAGCCAAGCAGCCAGTGTTTCCTGGTCAAGAGATTGTGGCCTCGGGAAGCAGAGGAGGCTGAGTCGGGGTGAAGATGGGTGGGGGGTGGGAAAGCGTATATCACAAATTACCAGTTGTTTTATCTCCCGCTGGACGCTCCATGAGGCTGCTTTCTCGTACCCCCTGTTTGCTGGTCTCGGATAGGAGTCCAAGATGGCGGATCCGCACTGAGATAGCTGGTAGGGGACCTCTGCATGAATCTCTCCTCGCTCTCCATTCTCTGTCAGTTTTCTCACTCCATTTGGTGCTTGGCTGCGTTCTTTATCTCTTCATTTGATGTTTTAGGGTTTCAGGATTGTTGTATTCTCTGTTCGGCTTAGTTTTTCAGATCTTTGCTGTGGAGGGATGGCGTGGTGCTTCTGCCTAGAGCACCATTATGCCAGAACCGCCTGAATTGAGCCCTTTTAACTGCAGTGAAGTATTTCATTAATTTATACTAAATGTCAAGATTCATAATAGTCCTTAAGAAAAAAGTCTTTTTAAAAAACCAACACTAAACGTAGGTAATTTTTTAATTGAGACTGCTAATAGGTTCTTTCTTTTAAACTCCTTTTATATTTCACTCTTTTAAATAATGCAATGATAAACATTTTTCTAATAAAACTTTTGTGGAATGGTTTCCTGATTATTTCCTGGATAGAATCCTAAAAACATAGTTTCTAGGTCAACAATGTAGACCTTTCTAAGGTTCTGCAATATTTTTGCCATATTGTCTCCAGAAAAGTTCGGCTAATTACATTCCAATAATTAGGTTTAGTTTTAAGTGAATATCTATAACTGTATTTTTAATTTAAGAAGAAACAGAAAAACACTTTTATCTTGGAAAACATATTTTGCCACCCATCCTGCCATAAGTGTTATAAAAGGAATTTTTATTTTATTCTTTATACTCAGTGAAAGATCACTTTAGGCTTGTTTCAAAATATATTAAATTTCAACTATAAAGAACTCTTGTTCTTAGAAACACGTGTCTGTTTATATCAAAGAGGGAGTTTCCATGAAATTTGTTCTGTGACTTTAAATACAATCTAGTCAGTAATTGCTGAAATTGAAGTCTAGCGAGCAAAGTTTAACAAGCAGAAAAGTAACTTAAAAATTTTGCTCATAGTTTGTTGTTTTTGACAGATCTGGGTGGTATGACAGTGCCTGAGCATCTTCTGTTGCTTGCCATTAGGAAAACACCACTTGAATCTGTGTAATAACAGTGAGTACACGGCCTGACAGCTTGCTTCAATTAATGTGGGCAGAAAAAAATTCAGGTTCTGCGCTTTGGAATGACAGGCCCAAACGCTGGGTGGCTATCTCTTTAAAAAGCTACAGGAATACAGGGTGGCCTAGGGGCACCTCAACCAGGGAGGCTGCCTTCAAATTACCAGGCCCGTCTATTATGAAGTGTTGAAAGGAGAAAGAAAAACAAATAATAAAGTTCCAAAATAAAGTTTATTTTATCAAAATTAAAACTGCTTCCTTCTCTGCACTTCAGAGTTACCTTGAGATGGAACAGTCTGAGGATTACATGGCTATAATCCTTTCGCAGTTAGTTCCACAGCGGGAGGTGCCTGCTACAGACAAAATTATAGGGTTAGGAATGTTCCCAATTCAGAGCCCTGATTGGCTGACCACCCCTCAGGGCTTTAGGATCAAATATTTGTGTATCTAAATGGGAGCAAAGAAAGGAAAATTGTTCATGCAGAGTGTCCCAGAGCTTGTATTATTGAAATAACAGATGGAAATATTATATTTTTGAAACATTCTTTCTTTAAGGAAGTCTTTTGAAGTGTGTTTTGATAGGATAAACTGAGCCAAAAGTGGGGGTGAGACAGGAAAAAAAAAGATTTTATTTTCAAATGGTGTCAGCAGAGTACAGAGTTAGCACTTCCCAAAAATGGCATGTCCCAAAAGGCACTGCAGCACGAAATATTTGCAAAGACTGTGCCTCACAAGATCATCTCAGGGGAGGACTAGTTCTGATCACACTTGACTGCCGCTGCTCGGTTACTGTACATAGTCTTCCAAGTCTTCCCCTCTGACATCTTTGCAAAGGGTTTAAAGCTGCTCATCACTGAATTTTTCACGTTTCCTAAACTTATTGAAATCTAAACTAAGACTCAGGACATCTCAAAAACTAAAACAAAACAAAACAAAAAAAACTGTTAGCCACCTCATACTTGCTGAGATTTTGGTAAGAAGAATGTTAAGATTGTAGATTTTACTTCACATGGACAATGTTACTGTGACATCTAGTCAGAGTTTGCAGAATAAAAAATGGAAGCACGCAATGCATAGGCATGCATGTAACACAGGGCAGAAAGAAAGAAAGCAGGAAGAAGGCCATATAAAAGATTCATCACGCTTGCTTTATTTTTCTGTACAGAGGATCCAGTACCCACGACCGAATCAACAGTTCAGAAATTTTGTATTGTCTTTCCAGGAAAAATATCCCCTTACTGAGCAATTAACTTGAAGTACTGCACAGCCAGCACAATTGCTCCATCGTTTACCTCTCAGGACCTGGTTCAGCTATCCTGCTAGTCCCGACTTCTAACTGGGTTTGCCATATGATGATCTGATTTATTGCATGGCAACTGGCGGTTACTCTGGCCAAGGAAAGAGGGAGAATCCACAGTAACACAATTATTTTGACCTTGTTACCCGATATGATCTGTATCTGTAACAGGTCTGAATGTAACTCCTGATTGAGTTTATTCTTATGGAGAGTAAAAGGAAGACTAGCCTGGGAAAAAGGTGATGGTTATAATGTGAGAAATGAAGGAAGTGCCAGTTCTCTTTCCCATTGAAGTCCAGTCTATTAATAGATTTGCTGGATCAGCTGATCCGGGTATTGGCAAGAGTTTGGGCCTTTGGGGTTTATATACAGTTCCTGTGCCCCAAATAATAGCCAGTTGACAAAGGGTAAAAATCTACTAATCTATAGCTTCTGAACAATCAGGATGAGCAATCAGGTGACAATGGCTGCAGGAAAAAAAAAAACAATGAAAAAGAGAAAATGAGACAGCAACTCACTCCCACCCACAAGTGGGGCCACCTCAGAGCAAGGCAAGAAGTGCTTAAGTGAAGGCTCTTTGGGTGACAGCATCTGCTCAGAGAGTCAGCTCAAAGGGCCTCAGAAGCTCTCAGCCAGCAGCAGAAAGGACTCTTGGCAGAGCTGCTTCCTGCACCTCTTTTGATCATAGGACTCAGGCTTGGAAAGGTTTTTACCAGTCTTGTGGTTTCCTGGTTGTGCGTCAATACATTCTGGCTGAAACCCTTCACTTCCTTGAGGCCAGCCTCTCCACCAATGGTTCCCACTCCATGGTTCACTCTCACCAGTTTTGAACTAGACTCCAAGGACACTTCTGGCTGTAGCATGAACCTTGAATATGAGGGCTTGCAGCTGGGATGTTAACCTCCCCTTCTTGCAACAAGGAACCTAAGGAAAAATAGAACAGTTTTAACGGAGTTATACCAAAGGTGCATAGAAACATAAAATACTAGAATCATTGAGTGGTTCCCACCAAATACCTTCTCAAAGACAGTCTGTAATAGAATCACCTGGACAACTGGTAGAAATATACAGATTCCTAATCTCAGAACTTTCAAGTTAAAATCTCTGAGCGGGAACTGGGAATCTGTGTTTTTAACAATCTCCTTGGCAACTCTGATGTATAGTATTTGTCTAGTATAGTATACCCAATTTCATAAATTAAGAAAAATTAAGGCCCAGACAGCTTGGGTCTCATGCTTCCTAACCATGCAGTCTTCTTATGTGCCTTGCTGTCCCCCCATCACCCCTATATTTCTCAAGAGAGGACTCATTCTGCTTATAGAGGGCCACTTTCAAATCCCACTACCACCTACTCAGGCAGTATTGAGATAGTATGTAAATTTCAAACAGCTATTAGAAAAGGTAGTGTTTTTGTTCATCTGTTCTTGGTGAGCAGGTTTACATAATGTGACCTGAGACAGCTGTAGTTTGGATAGCTCACAAATGCAAAAAGGAACTCCTTAGACACTGTAATAAGAGATAATTACGTACAGTCATGCAAAAAAATTCTGGGTTATTTATGGGAAAGGTTTATGCTTAGTGAATTAGGAAGGAGCAGCAGAGAGGGAAGGGTTGAACAGAAGACTAAAAGATGTCCCAATGAAAATGGCTGACATCTAAACAGTGTTGAAACAAAAGAGTATCAGAAACAATCAAGTCATGGATTGAATTGTGTCCCTTAAAAATATCTATCAACTTGACTAGGTCATGATTCCCAGTATTGTATGATTGTCTACCATTTTATCATCTGATGTGATTTCCCAATGTGTTGTAAATGCTATCACTATGATGTAATAAGATGGATTAGCGACAGTTATATTGATGAGGTCTACAAGATTAGATAGTGTCTTAAGCCTATCTCTTTTGAGATATAAAAGACAGACGTGAGCAGAGATGCATGGGAACCTCATACCACCAAGAAAGCAGTGCCAGGAGCAGAGAATGTCCTTTGGACCTGAGGTTCCTGCACTGAGATGCTCCCAGATCAAGGGAAGACTGATGACAAGGACCTTCCTCCAGAGCTGACAGATAAAGCCTTCCCCTGGAGGTGATGCCCTGAATTTGGACTTGTAGCCTACTGCACTGTGAGAGAATAAATTTCTGTTTGTTAAAGCCATCCACTTGTGGTATTTCTGTTATAGCAGCTCTAGATAACTAAGACAGATCAGAACCATCATAAACTACAAATGGCACCACGAAGGATATATCTTTCATTATTCACATGTTTACAGACAACTGAGTTTAAGTTCAGAGAAGTCATAAATCCATGTCATTAAGTACTACATGGTATAGTCGTGGACAAGCTTTTTTAAAGAGTGCAACAATAAGCTTGTGATTGGCAATAAAAAACTATGGAGTCAGATAGATTGAATCAGAATCCCAGACCTACCACTTACTAGCTGTGTGGGCTTGAGAAAATTACTTAGCTTCTTTGGATCTTAACTTCCTCATCTATAAAATTAAGATTAACAGGCATCTTAGCAATATTAAAGTGTTTGAGGAGGAGGAAGGGGGGAGTGATTATTGAAGATAAAGAGAGGCAAAGGGACAAATGTAAGTGAAGCAAGGTTATCCAAGGATAAATATATCTAGACTAATAAGACCAAAGGAGTAACAAACTAAAAAATTTGTATGATAACCTAAATTCTCAAGCTGAGTTTTGCCACATAACCTCCAGTTTCCTGTGCCCACAGACAAACACCTTCTTAACCCTAGTAGTATGTAAAAGTTGTTGAACATGACTAGAATACATATGTTGGGTAAGCTTCAAGAAAGTAGGCATTTTATCTGTTTTGTTCACCCCTGTGACCCAGTATTTAGTTGTGGAATGAATGAATGAGTTAGTGGGCTCTAGTAAGGGTAAAAAGTCTTGTACCTCAACAAGGGAAGAGGCTGATGAATATATAAAATCTATGTGCCTTCTGGGTGACAGTCTATCTTGTGTGTATCTGTGCCAATTCCCTTGGCCATGACAACCAAGGGGTAAAGAAAATTCCCCTGTTACATTGCCAAAATGCTTTAAACATTACACTGATACCAACGAATAGGGGGGCAACTACTTAAAGAGAAGTTCTGATATTAACAACAAACTTCCCAGCATGTTGTAAGTGCCAAATAAATGCCATATGTTACTGTTATTGTCTCAAATTAGATGACATGTCAAAAAAGGCAAAAGTTCATCCTGAAACATTTCCAAAATATTGGTACCACATAAAAAAGACTTGATAAATAGGTTTGGGAGGTAAACAGCACTTTAATAAATTCTTCTTGTATTAGAGTTGAACTCCAAAGCATTTAAAGGCCTTAGAGAGAGACGGAGAGATAGACAAAGGAAGAAAGAGAGGAGAGAGAGGAAAAGAAAGGGAGGGAGGAAGAAAGAGGAGGAGAGAGAGAGAACCAAAAAACAACAGAGAGATAATAGGATCGTATACCTAAATCAAATTGTGAGGTGAAACTTGAAGTTATTTTCTAGTTTCTCTTAAAATATCATTATCATAAACCAAATAAGTCAACTTATCACAAAGAATGCCAGCAATTGCCATTTCACAGCTCACTGCCATGTGCCTCTGTCGGAGGACATGGTACAGCATGCTGTTTATGAGCCGAGTTCGGGGTCAAAGTGACTGAGTTCTGCCTCAGTAGTTCTGTGGCTTCAAACAAGCCATTTATTCTGAGTCTCAGTTTTGCTTTCTTTTCTGCCATGTGCCTCTGTCAGAGGACATGGTACAGCATGCTGTTTATGAGCTGAGTTCGGGGTCAAAGTGACTGAGGTCTGCCTCAGTAGTTCTGTGGCTTCAAACAAGCCATTTATTCTAAATGAGTCTCAGTTTTGCTTTTTTTTTCCTGCAAAAGAGAGATAAGAATACAGGCATATTTCGTTTTATTCCCCTTCACTTTATTGCGCTTCACAGATACTGTGTTTTTTACAAATAGAAGATTTGTGGCAACCCTGCTTAGAGCAAGTCTATCAGAGCCATTTTCCAACAGTGTATGCTCACTTCATGTCTCTGTGTCACATTTTGGTAATTCTCACAGTGTTTCAAACTTTTTCATTATTATTGTATCTGTTATGGTGATTTGTGATCAGTGATCTTTGATGTTACTGTTGTATTTGTTTTGAGGAGCCACAGAGACCATATAAGATGATGAACTTAGCTGATAAATGTTGCATGTGTTCTGACTGTTCCAGTAACCAGCCATTCCTGGTCTCTCTCCCTCTCCTTGGGCCTCCCTATTCTCTGAGACAATACTGAAATTAGGCCAATTAATAACCCTGCAGTGGCCTCTAAATGTTTAAGTGAAAGGAAGAGTCACACGTCTCTCACTTTAAATCAAAAGCTAGAAATGATTAAGCTTAGTGAGGAAGGCATGTCAAAGGCCAAAATAGGCCAAAGCTAGGCCTCTTGTGCCAAACAATTAGCCAAGTTGTGAATGCCAAGGAGAAATTCTTGAAGGACATTAAAAGTGCTATACCAGTGAACCTACGAATGATAAGAAAGCAAAACAGCCTTCTTGCTGATACTGTGAAAGTTTCAGTGGTCTGGATAGCAGATTAAAACAGCCACAACATTCCCTTGAGCCCAAATCTAATCCAGAGCAAGGCCCTAATTCTCTTCAATTCTATGAAGGCTGAGAGAGGTGAGGAAGCTGCAGAAGAAAAGTTTGAAGCTAGCAGAGGTTGGGTCATGAGGTTTAAGGAATGAATCCATCGCCATAGCTTAAAAGTGCAACGTGAAGCAGCAAGTGCTGATGTAGAAGCTGCAGCAAGTTATCCAGAAGGTCTAGCTAAAATGATTGATGAAGGTGGCTGCACTAAACAACATATTTTCAATGTAGACAAAGCAGCCTGATATTGGAAGATACCACATAGGACTTTTATAGCTAGAGAGAAGTCAATGCCTGGCTTCAAAGCTTCAAAGGACAGGACGACTCACTTGTTAGGGTCTAATGCAGCTGGTGACTTTAAGTTGAAGCCAATGCTTATTTACCATTCTGAAAATCCTAGGGCCCTTAAGAATTATGCTAAATCTACTCTGCCTGTGTTCTGTAAATGGAACAACAAAGCCTGATGACGGCACATCTCTTTACAATGTGGTTTACTGAACATTTTAAGCCCACCATTGAGACCTACTGCTCAGAAAAAAAAGATCTTTTTCAAAATATTACTGCTCATTGACAATGCACATGGCCACCCAAGAGGTCTCTTGGAGATGTACAAGGAGATTAATGTTGTTTTCAAGCCTGGTAACACTACATTCATCCTGCAGCCCATGGATCAAGGAGTAATTTCAACCTTCAAATATTTTTATTTAAGAAATATGTTGTATAAAGTTATAGCTGCCATAGATAGGGTTTCCTCTGATGGATCTGAGCAAAGTAAGTTGAAAACCTTCTGGAAAGGATTCACCATTCTAGATGACATGAAGAACATTCATGATTCATGGGAGGAGATCAAAATAGCAACATTAACAGGAGTTTGGAAGAAGTTAATTCCAACCCTCATGGATGACTTCGAGAGCTTCAAGACTTCAGTGGAGTAAGTAACTGAAGATGTGGTGGAAATAACAAGGGAACTAGAATTGTAAGTTAAGCCTGAAGATGTGACTGAATTTCTGCAACCTCATGATAAAACTTTAATGGATAAGGAGTTGCTTCTTATGGATAGGCAAAGAAAGTGGTTTCTTGAGATGGAATCTACTCCTGATGAAGATGCTGTGAACATTGTTGAAATGACAACAAAGAATTTAGTATATTGCATAAACTTAGTTATGCAGCGCAGTTTGAGAGGACTGACTCCAATTTTGAAAGAAGATCTACTGAGAAAAATGCTATCAAACAGCCTTGCATGCTACAGAGAAATCTTTTGTGAAAGGA